GACAATGATCAGTAGTTGATCCTAGAGGATAATGAGCCACACTAGGATTGAGACACAACCCGAACTTGCAGTAGTGGCATGGTGTTATGTTTGGCATGGAAGATTACATAGTATGTTCTAAACATCTACTGTTCTTTGAGGTTACTGAACCATTCACAGGGCAACTCTCCTTTGGCATGTTAATATCTATCAGCATTACATGCTGAATAAGAGTAGCCCTATGAAAGGTTGAACCCTTAATTTTCTGATTTTTTTGATCCTAACCGCTGCTTGTGGCTGTCCGAGCTGATTCCAGTTTTATAATCATATAAGGAGTCCCTTTGTAGAGGAATAAATGCTATGGAAATCCACTATACTAGCTTTTCTTGGTCATAACATATATAGACAATATCTTATCTCGAAACCCCCTTTACAATTATAACAGATTCCTCCCTGCCCTTGTCCATGAATTCGACAGTAAATTGTGTACCGAATGTTTGAAAGTAGATGCTGTTAAAAATCTTATTTATTATATTGTCTCGTGCAGTTAAAAATTGCATGTTTAAACATGCACTCAGAGAAAATTCAAATTTCCGACTTTCTTTTAGAGAATTTATGTGAGCATTTCTTCGTCATTTGGATCCCTACTTTGGAGCTCCATATGGAGGATCTTTTCCAATATGCATCTACCCTCAGAAAGGAATTCCAAAAGGGATAGGAATCTTTTATGACGCAAGGATACTTCGGTTTTTGAAGAGTCAAGAGTTAACAGGTTCCCAAATTATAAACATTTTCATTTTTAGTAGTGCTACTCAAAAAGAATAAATTAGACTCTTCCGCTTTTGAGATGACATACTTATCTACCAAATCAAGTTAGATCGCATGCAAAAATGAGCGGAGCCAAGTTAATTGTGTCTAACCCCTTTATATGTTTTTCTTTTTTATTATTATTTTTTGAAAGATACTAAAAATAAAAATGCCTACACGCGGTAGCCCACGGCACAATCTATGCCAAGAAATGCCCGGTGTGTTTTGGGCTGCTTAACCAACTTTAAACCCCTAATGATATGTACATTTAAATCGAAATTCAAAAACTAGGCTTCAATATGTTACTTTGTTCAAATTCTTTTACTCTACTGTCTTTTGATTTTATATATACGAATATCAAAATATTAAGAAAGAAAAAAGTTAGAGTTTTACCCTCCGTTTGGTATAGATTTTTAGCCAATTTAAATCAATTTTTTTTACCGTTATTTCACTATTTCAGCCGTCATTTTTAAATTATTCTCTTACAGGTAAAACTCACTTTATCTCTAACGGTCAAAAAATCAATTATCAAAATCTCTACCAAACAAACACTTAATTATAGCAGCGTATCTCTTATTTTTTTCACAAGGAAAAAGAAAGAGATTTTGAATATGAAGTTCCAATAATATTGTCCTAAATAGCCAGCTGGAAGTGGGAATTTCAAATGGGCCGAAATGATTAATGGGCCTTAAGTAGATGGGCTGGACTTATATAACTCAGGATCAACATTTGTCGGCTTCCAACTTCACCATATTGATCAAAGCAATTAATACTGGGATTTACAAAAGGATGATCCCAAATACAAAGGGATAATTAGGACATGTCCTACTTTTTTTATTTTTTCGAATTTTCATTATTGCTAAACTAAAATTTTAATGTTTCAAAATTACTAAAAGTTATCAAAATTAATTTGCAAAATCTTAAGTATTTTTCCTAATTTTCAGGATCTAATTTAATCTTTCCTCAATTTATGGGAGTATTTAAGAAGTTGTTTTCATACATGCTTAAATAATTTTTTGAAATCATTTTGTCTCAGGCTAGAAGAGCGTCTAGAAGAAGTTGGTAATGACTTTTGTTGATCGATCATTTGTTTCAAGTTCTCGACTAGGTTTCCACTTGAGCACCAATACTGCAATCACATGAATGATATTGCTTTGTGTCTTGAACAATTTACGTCGAAAATTTTGAACATGTTCTCTCACATGACTAAGATTTAACTCGGCATCACATTCTGTTTTACTTTTAGCAAAATTTATCACAAAACAATTAATTGCTTATTTCAATGCAATCGTCAAATTCTACATTTTGTGCTCCATCTTCCTTTCAAGTATACTTTAACAGCAGCTTCAATAGAAATTTTTCTTGCAAGTGTTATCTACTGTTCAGCTGTTCTCTATAGAGATTGTGTGGTTTTTGATACCCAATAAATCCCGGGTTATGATGTTAACGTGGGTTAATATTATTTTATAGACATAGGCCGATGAATGAAATAAGTCTAACAACCAAGTCCATGAGCTACACTCGACTCAATTATATTTTTTATGGATTGCTTGAATCTTGGCCCGTTTATCCCTTTATTGGCCCAACTAAAAGTCTAACCCTAGAGTATATATTTGGCTATAACCCTAACCACTTTCATATGATGAGTGTGTGATTTTGAGAGAAGAAACAAGAGAATCCCGGCTGCCCCCCTTTGTGTGAGAAAAAAGGTGTTCAGAAGTGTCCAGAACGCTGGTATAACGTGTTCAATTGGTGGTTCTTTCATAGTATACCTTTGTGGTGTCTTCTCTTAGCATTTGTGGCAATAAATCATCATCTTTTCTTGTCCTACATGGATAAGATTGAATAGCAACCAAGGTAAATCAATTGGTTGTGGTTTGGAGCCGATTGGATTGGTTGTTGGTAGAGAAAGGTACGTTGAATTGAGTCTGGAAAACCACCGTTTGAAGATTTTTTGAAAGAGCTTCCGCAACAGAGATTAATATGCTATCCCGTACATATATTTGATCTCTTAAAATGTTGCATGTTAAGTAAAGAAAGAAAGAGAACATGTTCAAAAATTTCGATGGAGAACAATAGATAACACTTGTGTAAAATTTTTCAACACAATACCTAAATTTCTCAATCAAAATCCTCTGCTGCAAAAAATCTAGCTCTATTTGCAACTTGATGATCAACTTGACACATACGTCATTGATATGCAGACTGATGAAGATTTCGAAGGATTATGGGACCTCAGTGAACTTGCTCAAAACTAACGAGAAAACATGAAATGTATCGTTAATGTACAAGCTTTTTACACTGGCATTAATTCTTTGAGTTGCTAATGCTGCAGTAGAATATTTTTTACAATGAATTATGATACGATCGATAGTGCAACTGAATGGGAGATCGGCGGTTGAATAATAGTTTTATTAAGTATATTGAGAAGGATATATAAGGCAATATTGATGATGATGCAATTATAAAAAGTTATTAAAGAATGCAAACTCGTAAGAAACACTTGTAATTAGGTATCAGAAAAATTCATGTTGTTTCAAAGTTTTGTTGCACGTTATTTAGGCCTCCCTATTCAAAATGTTTGACTCGATCCGCCACTGTTTAAAACTATGGTTAATTTTGTACGAAGTGTTTACGATTGAGAATGACAAATGAGTCTTTTTGACTAGAAGGAATCAAGAAAAAGTTGCTTTGAAAAATATATACAACAGTAATATAAGTCTTCATCATCACCTATATGTAGAATCATTCGTCCACATTGTCCACCTTCCGCACCCGGTACTCACCATTTTCAATTGACTAGTTAAGAAGTTGGTGGTGTTGCATTCGAATGTCGAATTCATATTCTTGCAAGCTAGTTCTCTCATGCTTCCTAATATATTATTTTGCATTACTTAAAAAAAAAAGGAATTAAAAAAGTGTTCGACTAGCGTATCGCCCTAATTTTTGTACATAGATTTAGAGTGGGGTATATGTTGAAAAGTTACGATGTTATGGAACGATCAATTATTATTGTCAAACAATTAATTATAGATGTGACGAATAAATTATCCGTCATGAGAAGAATCAAACTCTGAATTAAAATTTTAATTTGATATTAATCCAAATCAAACAAGGCCAAAGATGAAGGGTGGATTTTTAACCCACTAGAAACACATGAAATATTGGTATCTTATAAGTGGGGAGACAATTGAAATCAACGCTAACCGTCCAACCTTACCTAAAAAGGAACCATCTATGCCCACAATGTGAAATGACAAAATAATCACTTTTCAATCTTATCTTTATAATTGCCCCAATTTTCCTTAAACACACACACAAACACATATTCTATTGTTTAATGATACAATTTAGAATTAGTATAGACTCATTATGCACCACAAACATCTTCGAGTGGTCTACCAATTTAGTTTATTAATAAATTATTCATAACTTTTATTAACTTTTAAACAATATAATATTTAATCAATTTATCAGAAGTTATTAAAAATTCGATTTACACGTCTTGTTAACAACATAATAAAATTAAGGATTTATACTTCTATTTTCGCATGTTTGAAAAGTGATTAAAAACCGTTTAAATTATAAGTAGATAAAGATTATTGATCGATAAGTGAATTGTATTTATGAGTTACTTGAAATATAAGGAAATAAAGTAACTTGAATATTTACAAATAGTTTATAAATATTACCCAAATATATGCTAATTACACGCTAGGGAAATAGCTAAACAAATCAACCTCTTTTTTTATTAAATTTTAAATTAGCCATGGAAATCGTTGTTGTCATATTTGATCGGTCTCTTTCTTATATATCTATTAATGTAAAGAAAAAAAAAGTAGTTTCTTAAGTATTCCGAATCGTACCACTAAATTTGATAAACCAGGGCAATGAGAAATCGATAAATTAATGATAGTAAAGAACGTAATCATATAATTGTCGATTCTTCTTCAAATATCTAGCAAGTAAAACACATTGATTCCCGCACGAATACGAAGAATTGATTCGTGATCAACAAATCTTTGATTCTACACTGATTTAAATGAAAATTGGAGCAAAAACTATGAGCTATAATATTCTATTGACAATGTTGACTTTCTAAGCCAAAACCCAAGAGTCAATAATAACACACACACATATAATTTAAAAATTTGAGAAAAATGACTGAAGAAGAAAGGATATGATTCTTAGATGCTCAAGTGGAAACATTTCTCCATCGATAACTCTTTGTTCCATATATTCAGAATCATGAACTCAGTACGTCCTACCTATTGTACATAAATAAAAGTATGATCAAGCTAAGATTTAGATTAGTATATCACCCCGGCCTGTCTATACTTTCGAGGTTTAGGAGTGATTTTTATTACAAGTCCTGGAAAAACATCATCGGGATCATGTATGTGAGGATTCTGCTCGACGATGAAGGGATCCTCGCACTTGTCACTTATGGTGTGAAGTGTTTCGCCTTCTCGGACAACATAGATTTCCTCGCATGGCCTGTCTTTGAGCTGGTTTCCTCTCACCTCAGTCAATTCAAAATCTGTGAGAGAGTTCTCTCTCATTAAGCATAATAACATAAGGGCCAAAATAACTATGGCAGAGTATGCATCTGCTATGTGAAGAGTTGAAAAAGCCATATTTTAAGAGTAATAGATGTGAAGCTTTGAGGGTTATATATATAAAGAGAGATAGAGAGAGGACACCGCGGGAGTTGAAGGGCATGCGAAAAAGTAAAAAGTTAAGAAGGTCTTTGGGCGTATTTATTGGGGAAGAAAATTTAAACGTTGGGTTCAAGTTTTCAATGATTTCTTGGCGTGTATATACCGGCGTTGGAGAAAAATTTGGAGAAACTTCAGATAATGCTAAGAGAGACGAGGAGAAAATTTAGAGTTCATTTCAACTCAATTGAGTCCATTCGATGAGGGAGTCGATGAATGCCAAAATAGTTCTTTTTCAAAAAATTAACTGATGAAAATTCTTTATATTCAGGAACATTCTGAGTTGATTTGGTTGCTTTAAATCCACATCATCCACTACACCCTTAGATGGGGTTGAAGATAATTAGGTTTTGTAGGAAGTGGCTGAGAAAATAACATAAATGTACCATTGTGGAAATTCATTTTCCAGGAAAGTTAATGACACTTGAGACTGGAGACCACAAATGGAGCTTCGAATTTTTATTTTGAGAGTATAATTTCTAATATAAAACTATTTTGAAAAGGTCGACCATCAATATGTGGCCACCATTCTTCAAAAGATTTTATTATTATTATCTGAATTAGATATTAGCAAGGTTTTTAAAGATATTTTATTTGGGGTCATTGCGTTGGAAAAGGTGTAAAATTATTTGAATTATCTTCGGGCTTTAAAAGTTTTTAAAGTTGTCATTGAATTTTTTTTTCCAAATATTTTCCCATTATCCTTGAACTTTAAACGATATTACATCTATCATTCTCTTTATCATGTCATCTAATTTGCTAACTTTTAGAATGACGAGTGAGAGGATGATGAATTTAATAATATTTTGATAAGTTCAGTCACAACTTAATAACTTATAAAATTTAATGACAATTGAAATACATTTAGGAAAGTTCAATAGCAAGTTGAAGATCTTTTGAAGGTTAATGGCAATTAGATACATTTGAAAATTACTCAAATTGCATGTTAATTGAAAATCACTTATTATATCAAAAAAAGAAAAAAAGGTGTTCACTTGCTCAAATTTACTTTTAAGTTAATTTTTATTTTTTAAACATGCAAAAAGTTACTTGACGTAGTTCTTACTTTCTATGTAAGTACCTTATTTTTATTTTGATAAAAAAAAAAACTATTTATTTATATTTACTTGTCATCAATTTTTTAAAGATTAATCAAATATGTGAATAGTGTGTCATATGTTTGGTACCAAATTGTACATAAAACTATGCAATATTATTAATATTTTTTTATTTTTTAATGTTGTATATTACCACTTAAGAGCCCCAAACTAGAGGCTTTAACCCTCGTCTCTCAGCGTTTGCCTCTACCACCTCCACCCTTGACCTCACAGGAACTCCCTCATTCTTGCCTTGTATAACAGCCACCGGCTCCCTCACCACCCTAGGTTCTCGTCCAATACCCTAATATACCCCATCTCCAAATTCTGCCTCTACCACCTTGACCCTTGACCTCACTACATATTTCCTCACCTTTGCCTCATATATATTCCATGCACCACCTTCCCAGCGCCCTAGGTTCTCGCCTAATACCCCACTATAACATTTAGGTCTCGTTTGATTCTCATTCTTATCAAAAATACATTTTTCTTTATCTTCTTTTTAACCATATATTCTTCATTAAAATAATATTACACGTAAATAAAAAAAAAATTCTTTATTTTTCATTCACACATTCTCTATCAATTTATTATTCTAAAATTCATTTTTTCCAAGAAAATGGATGTTAAACACTCTCTCAATTTATTCGATTTTTCAACCCCATGGCTCCCGTAGCAAGCACCCCGCTCTCCCAAGCTGGTTCGGCAGAATATTTATTTAGAGCTTGGTTTGGTAAATATGAAGCTTATGCCAAAATCTTTTAGATATTTCAATCTGGGTTAAACCAAGTTACAATCACGATAGAATCATATTAATTCGAAAATTTTAAATATGATGCGGATATTTCAACTTCTGCTTCCAATATAAATAATTACTTGAAAATTGACTAAACAATTAAATAATGTTAGTTTTTGTAATAATAGACTATTTATTTCACAATGGCTCTAATGTCATCCTTAAACGAGTCAATTAAGGTTTCTTTAAACTTTCAATAGTGATATTGACCGGGTTCAATAGAAGTGGCGGCCTAGGGGTGGCATACGGGACCATTACATCAAGTGGCATTGGAGTCATGGTATCATACGGGACCATCTTATCAGAAATGAGCAATATAATAGAGTAATTTCAAAATAAACAATTCAATAGAGAGTTCTAGTAGATTAATCTTCAATCGACTCAAAAATCCAAAAATTAAAATAGATATCAGTCCTTGTTTGATGGTCATTATTGGAAAAAAAAATGATGTTTTGAATAGTAATTTTTGGAGAATGTGTGGTTAAAAAATAGAGTATAATTTTGGATTTATGTGTAAAATATTTTATTATGTGAATATATAAGTAAAAATGAGTACGAGAATTTAAAAAATTTTGTTTTAAAAGGGAGACTTAACTTACCTTGACTTGACCTTGATGACCTCTTGCAAAGTCACAAACTATTAACCTGTATGAATGAAATCAACAAAAAATTATGTGCAAGATTAAAGTATAAGCACATCGGGCTAAGCTTAAAAATAATAAGTATAATCAGTAATATTTCTTCTTATTTATAAGTAAAAAAATAATTTATTTTAACGAAAGATGAAGTAAATTCACAATAAGAATTTGCATTATTTCGAATTACTTTTTACTTATGAGTTTGAAGAGAAAATTAAGCCCTACATGGTTTTTTTATTTTATTAAAAAAAATTGAAACTACGTTGAAACTTTTAATTTGTTTACTCTATGGTAATATACTGCATAAAAATACATTTAACCACAACTTTACAAACCCAACTAACTGAATAAGAATTAGGAACCGTCAGCCCCGACCTCCATTAAATTAAATTTTATTTTTCACTCTCCAATTTCATCCATAAAATCTTCTATAAAATAATATTACACGTAAATCGAATTTTTTTTTTTTTTCAATCATCCATTTTTCAAAAAAGTACTATTCCAACCATTATAATTGAAAATAATAGGGGCCAAACGGGGGCTAAGAATTATAACACCCTTCCCTCTTCTTCGTAGTCTCTTATTCACATTAACCTTGAATTAAGTAAACGTGTTTATTTTTCTGGTTAAATTCTTTGTAGGTTATTTTGGAAACATCATGGGTACAATTTAATTGATATTATTGTTTTCATTAATATTATTGTTCTATATTTTAATTTCATAAAATTGGGTTTGAGTGGTTTAGTAGAGTAATAAATCACCAATTTTATGTCGATGCATGTCCTTTTTTGTCAATGTTATCTCTATTTTAATCAATTAAGCGTTTGCTAGCTACAATTTATTTGAAAATTATTTTTTCTCAAACATATTTTTCAACATAAAATTCTCTCCAAAAAATAATAATATATNTAGGAACCGTAACCTTTCACTATTTCTTAATCACATATTTTCTGAAAAATATCATTTTTTTCACTTCAAAATATTCTCATATATATATATATTTCTTGTGGAACCGTAACTTTTCACTATTTCTTAATCACATATTTTCTGAAAAAATCAGTTTTTTCACTTCAAAATATTCTCCCCCAAATGAACATCAATTCTTTCTTTTTCTTGGGTGTTATCATTTTCCTTAATTTTTTCTTGAATTTGGAATTTCAATGATGGAAATTTGAATATTGGTAAGTATTTATCTCAAAAGTTCCTCTCTAGGACGGGGAAAAAAGTTGGATCGACATGAGACTTGTGGGACTCCGACCCGAAAAGGGTGGGAATTCTTCCCCTTCGGGTTGGTGGGGTGAGTTCAACTGAAAATACTTTGTCATGACTTGGGTTCGGTGTGAGCCACGTCCTGTTTAGCATTAATCAAAAAGAAAATTTGAATTTTCCAAACAATAGAATAAAATATATAAAAATATATTATATAGGCAAATGAGTGCCCCATCCCCTCCGGAACCTGAACTTGCCCCGTCTTGAACAATGCATGAAGCGAAAAAGTCCCGACAAACAAACTTATTCTATTCCTCCCTCTTCAAAATTGAAGTAGTGAGTCATGATGGATCTTCCCATCCTGGCTTTTGTTAATTAAAAAGTTACAGCACGTTTGTGTCACTTTTTAATTAACAATTTGTGACTTTCTAATTGAAAATTGATACAATGTTCGTTTCTAATGTAAAATCTTAGTTCACAAACAACTAAATATAGTTTTAAGTTATTACAAACACATTGGAGCTTAGTTAAATAATTCTATTAGAAAAAGTTATATCACACGGCCGTGAGACATTTCAATTAAAAAGGATATTTTTGTGTAACTTTTTATAAACGCAAAGGATTAATTCATATCCAACAAAAAATAGAATAAAGTCTAAATATCATTTTAAAAGGTCTTAAAGCACACGGTAGGTTTAGCCAAAAATATTTGCTTTAAAAAAATGCACAGTCAGTGGCGAATTCAAGATCGGAACTCAATTAGGGCGGACTGCAAACGTTGACCATTGACAATCCTCTATGGTAATAGCGATGTCGTTTATTAATAGTTAACTAAATAATATTAAAAAAATTTCAACACTAAATCGTAAAGATTCTACACATATGAAAATATAATTCAATTAGTTTCTTTATAAGGCTAAACTAAAATTCCCAAATCACAAATCAAAACTCATAAATGATAAATTATAACTCGCAATTCATACAACATAAATTATTCATCATTTCTCGGTCATTTTTGTCAATTAACTAATAAATTCCCAAATCACAATTCTCATTTCTCTATCATTTTGTCAATTAACTAATAAAACATAAATCATAGATTCATAAGAAATTAAGACTCATAACTCATAAATAATAAGGCCTTGTTTGAGCCCCATTTTTGGGGAGAAAATGAATTTTTGAATACTATATTAATGAGAAATGTGTGATTAAAAAATAATTAAAAGTTTTGAATTTGCGTGTAATATTATTTTATTAAAAAATATATGGTTGAAATGATGTCAACACACTTTTTAAGAATGTATTTTTTTTTGGAAAGAATGTGGCTCAAACAAGAGCAAATAAGAAAGTGATTTATACGATTAATAATTAATAATTATTCGAACTTGTGAAGGCAAACACCCCCCCCTCCTGCCAAAAAAAAAAAAAAAGGCAGCTCACTGATTTGAAGGGGAAAGACGCGTTGCTACCAGTTGCTCACAGGCTTCGTGAGTTTGCATCCGAGAGTCTACCGACAGTGACTCGTCGCTGTCCCATTCGTCCTTCGACAGCAAGTCAACAACTGCTTGAGCACTGCTTCTCTTCAACCTTCGCAAATCGCACAGCATCTACCAGGAGGTGGAAAGACAGTGCTTTGCCTTCTGTTGGTCAGTCTTGGACTTTTGATGCATATATTGTATGGATTGGGCCTAGTTTAAGGGAAAAAAAAGAAGCCCACAACAACCACAAGCATGAGGCAGGCATCAGCCCCCAAAAAAAAAAAAAGAATTTTGCAAACCTCGCCTTCTTCGTCTTCACCATTCGTCTGCGGTCTGCCTCTACAACTGTAACTGGTCTGGCGTTCGGTGGATACTCAAAGTTTCGATGGAGTCCAGCACACGCGGCCGCGCCTTCTCGCGGCGTGCTGGCTCAGCCGCTACAGCACAGTGCGATCTTTTAATTAAAAATTTATATAACATGTGACTTTCTAGTGATGAATATTAATTCATATCTAACACAACAAATAAAAAATAGTAATGGCTAAATATTTGTTAAAAAAAAATTTGTTAATACATTATAAGTTTAATCAAAGATTTTTATTCGTAAAAACCAAATTGTATGAGGTGTGACCTTTTAATTAAAAATATAAAAATTCAATTGACCTCACAAGAATATGACATTTTTCAATAAATAATTTTCATGAAGTTAGCGATTAAAAAAAAAAAAAAAGGGAAATAATTTAAAAACACAAAACTAACCCCTAGAAGAAACGAATAATAGAATTCCTTTTGTCATTCCTGTTATTTCTAACATACATGAATTAACCCCACCAAGCACCGATGGAGGAGTCCTTGCTTTTCTTTTGTTCTTTAGTTTTGTGTCATACTTAATTATCTGTGTTTTAAAAGGCTTGTCTAGACACAGAGCATGGAAAAAATCCCACCTAGAATTTAGGTGAAAAAAAAAAGAGAGAGAGAGAGAAGAAAAACTCTACGTTGATCATCTAAGACATGCCTAGATAGAAAAGAGTGCTCGTCTTTTTATTTGACGTGACATTTCTTGTTTTGAAGTTCATCTTGCCAAAACTTATAAAGCAAATGAGTCAAAAATGAAAAATCCACCGTAGCTAAAATCCAAGACAAGACATTGATTTCTCTACCCACAATTAAAACAATATTGATTTATGGTATTTATGATTTTAAAAATTATGTCTTTGTTGCAAACTTGAAAATACACGTGAACTTCCTATAAATTTTCAATGTACGCATCATTGTTTTATTTACTAATTCATTTAAAATAATTAAAACATTATTTAAAATAGGAAAACCGGCTTATTACATATATGCAAAGTTGTAAAACTTAGAATCTTGATCTCCATGTCTTCTGAAGCCTCAATAATTATTTATGTGAGTCCCGAGAGATGCATTTTTGGCAGTGTATGCATAAGCAATGCTGTATTTCCCTTTATTCTTTTTTCGGTTGTACTACATGTACATAATGAATTTTATAATAATTTACATATACATGATGTTGTAAGATATGATTGGTTCAGAATTTTTTCAATTAAAAAAAAGTCATTTACTCTATTTTTGACACATCATCTGTATGTAAATCACTATGTAACTCAATTATATACAAGTAGTATTATTATTCTTTTTTACCTTACCCTATTTTTAAAATTTTTAATTTTAATTTGGGGTTAAATCCACCAATGACCATCCAACTTTATGTTTAATATTACCACAGCTATCTAATTTGATTTTATTTCACTATGACCTTCCAATTTCATATGACGATTCTCATGGCCACCCAACTTCATTTCATCCTTAGCACTAATTTAAAAATGGTAAAATGATAACTTTGCATTATATATATAATACATTTAAAAAAACAAAAATAAAAGTTTTTAATAAAATTATTTTTTAAATAAGTTTTTATTTTATTTTATTTTATTTTTTAAGTAACTTTTTTTTAAAAAAAATAAGTTTATATTTTTTAAGGAACGTTTTTTTTTAATCATAATTAACTATAATTTACGAAATAGGTGCAATATCCACCAAATTTGTAATCGATCGAGAGACAGCAGCCAAATGTTGATTTAAAACCATAACTTACAAAAATCGTACCAAAGTCTAAATTTAATTATAGTTAACTCTTTTTTTTTAATTAATAATAATAATAACTCATGTAATTAAAAAATTTGATTTAATTAAATCAATTACAATCTTACGAAAATTCAACTAAAATAATTAAATCGGAGTTCATCAAATAACTTAGAAGAGTCCTTCCGGACTTATCCACTTTACTACAAAGATTCTCTTCCAAAACGTTAAAAAAATAGCTAGTCAAACCTAAGCTTCAATTATTGTACAAGAACCAATGTGCAATCTTACAAAATTTCAAATAAAATAATTAAATCAAGATGCACTAATCGCAGGTCAATTCCAACAAATTATAAATAATACACACGCACAGTTAACAAACACTTTTAAGAATTGTACTGTGGGTTTTGTTATTTGTACCTGGTGTACAACGCCCTCACAATAAAGAAGGCTGGCGTCCAATAAAAAAAATTGCACGCCTCCCTATTATAAGAGGGTCTAACACCTCGATATACACATAGCAAAATCCATATATTATAAAATTAATGCTTAACATCTTGTCATATGATTAGACAATCATCACTACATTGTTCAAGGGATAAAATATATTATAAAATCCTTGTTTGATGGAAAATTTAAAAAAAAAAAAAATTAGTAGATTTTGCTAAAAGTTGATGAAATTTATAATTAAAAAGTTATGAATTCCATAAAATATATAATTAAAGTTAATTATTGATTTTAACGAAAATTAAAATTTTAATCCTACAAGACAGGACAAAATAGTATCAATCATTTTTTTTAATGATGACTAACATTTGATACGAGTTTATCCACCCCTTCTCTTTTCCTGCAGAATATCTCCATCATTTTCCACTATCTCATTCACAAGAATCCAATCTATAAATTGACAAACCTGCTAATCTCACCCTTCATACTCACTCAATCAATCTTGATTGATTTTTAGAGAGAGAGAGAGAGAGAGAGGAAATGGGTAAGGGTGGTAAGTCTCATGGAAATAGTGGGGAGGAAGAAGAGAACATGGCAGCTTGGCTTCTGGGTGTTAACAATCTCAAGATTCAGCCTTTCAAGCTTCCTCCTCTAGGTACTAGATTATCCTTCTATTCTTGTACTGTTTCTTTGGATTTCATGATTTAATTAGAGTTTGATCAATCTGTTCTACTGTATGTTAACTTGTGTGCTATTTTTAGGCCCCCTTGATGCTAGAATTAGGATGAAAGCTGTGGGTATATGTGGAAGTGACGTTCACTTCCTCAAGGTAAAATCTATTCTTATTTTCTCAATAATATACATAAACTTTGTATTTTGGCACGTTTGTTGAGAGTGGATGGGGGTAATACTCTGTTGAGTAAAATCTAACTCTACTCACTCTCTCTCTCACAGTAACATAAACTTAAAGAAAATCCACTAGCTTTTCAACTCTACTCTCTCTCTCTCTCACAGTAACATACCACTCATATATATTGCAATTTTACAATACGATATTGACACTAACCAAACCCACTAGAAGCAGCAAGCTCACTTCCCTCTCTATTTCACTCTATTAGCTTTTCCACTCTGCTCATGCTTTTCTCACACCAGTAATGCTACCGGTACATCGGGGGGTACCGAAGCGTGTACCTAATGGACACGCGGCGACCCCCCATTGGAGGAAGCGCATGTGGGACAGGCGCTTCCTCCAACCGGGGGTCGCCGCGTGTCCATTAGGTACACGCTTCGGTACCCCCGGATGTACCACAAGTTTAATTCTTCTCCCACAGTAGTACACCACTCATATGCATTGCCTCTCTCATTTATTTATCTCACAGCACTCGTCAAACCTTTCTAGGATGGCGGTGGAAAATAAAATTATACAGCAATATTCTAAGAACTTCTCACATGTCGGCAACCTAAGAAGAATCTCGAATTTGATTAGCAGGAAACCATTGCTAATTTTTTAGAGAATTCTTGGAGTTCCAACTTAAATCATTCTCCCATTCAACACCGACTTCTTAATTTGACTTTTTTCATTTTCATCACTCCCCACTTTACCTCAAACTCGACAAATTTTGAAATGATCATTCCTTCATTCAATGAGTCCGTGACTTCAAATATATCCGGCTCTTTCATACTTTCATTCTACTGCTGCATTAAAAAACTTGGGGTTTGATTTCTTGTGTCTATTTAACTTCCTTATGTGTGGTTGTGAATTTGTACCTACCTTAATCTCTTTTTGTTGACTCTGTCTACCTTTCGCTATTGTTTTCTGGACCACATCATTTTGCATAGGACTCTATGTCATTCTAATGAACTCTTATCACTTGATGTGTGGAGATCTTTAGATTTTTCAACGCTTCATTGTGCTTTTGTGATATCCTCTTTCAATTTTTCTTTCATTTACTTTGAATCTTGCAGCTTTGCCCTCAGCGATGTTTGTCAAGAATATGTTTCTTCAAATACCTTTTCTGAGTCTGATAGTTCCTCCCTCTAAGGAGTCCACCAAGAAGGCTCTTCAAGAACCATGATGTCATCCTCTTGAGTCGTTGATCCAATCATCTTCGCAATCCAATTGTTCAGACAAGACTACCACCAATGTTGATTCGTCATTTATACTTGAATTGATTTTCTTTTTTCAAGCCTGCTCAATTATTATTAGGGTTGCATTAGTATCCCATTCTTCTTCGCTATTGTACTTATCTTCTTTACTGGAGATTGCTAAATTGCCTTCTCATGGCTCCTTTGTAAACTAACAATTTCTAGCTTAATGACCTCTTTTCCCACATACAAAACAAAAGCCATTAATTCGTTGATATCCTCAACCTCTTTCGTCGAAATTTTGTTGAGCTCTTCTTGCGACTTAAATCCCCTCTCCGTGTTTATTTTCTTTTAATTCTTTATTATTTTGTTAACGGACTGACCTATTCTTTTATTTAGGGGTGGGTGCGGGTCGGTTCGGTTCACGAACCGAACCGAACCAAAATTTTCGGGTATCTAGTAAATGGAACCGTCGGGTCCAAATATAATTATGGAACCGTTCGGTTCCGTTCGGTTCTGTGCTATAATTAAATTTTTTAATACTTATAACAACATTATATAAAAACAACTAATGATGCATTCAATGGTTTTGAAATGTTAGAGACTAGTAAACTACTTTGTTCAAATGATCACTACAGTCAAAGTTTCGGTAGGCGAAGGTCACAGCTTTGATCGGAGGTCACAGTGTCGTTCGACGATTGTATAGATTTTGGAATATTAGCGAGGCTGTGCACTTTAGTGTAGGTGTTTAAGGTTATTTAGTGGATTAGATCTTGTTGGGTTAAGAAATGAAACAATAAAAATGGTAATTGGGCCAAAAATTAAAAAATTAGAAATGAAACAAATTATTGGGTCAAAAATTTGGATTTAGAAATTGTTAATTTGTTAATTTGTTTAGAAAAATTAAAATTAAAATAATTTAATTTGCTCAATATAAAAAAAAATTAAAAAGATTCGGTTCTTATTCGGTTCTTGGTCTAGAACCAAGAATCGAACCGTACTCGTCGGTTCTCAATTCAGATACCCGTTCGGGTATTTAATTTGACAAGAACCGTCGGGTTCGGTTCGGTTCGGGATATTTGCCCAGCCCTACTTTTATTGCTAAATAATATTTCTTCCCCTTCTCTCTTTATTGAAATCCCTAACATTTGCATGTTGAATGCTTCTTGATTGGTCAGTAAAATTTCGAGATTGACCAACGACGGTTGCTGTGACCAACCTTGCATTGTAGCAATAAACAATGCATAATTATTCTTCTCTTTCTAAACATTGAAATTTTACCTGAAGAATCTAATTCCGAAATTTCGCGACAAAAAGATTTATCTTTGTTAAAATATTGACTTGTTATCAACTCTTCTTGAGTGATCAGGAACAACTCATTTTTCACAATTCTAACCTCAAGTCATTTTTCTTTGAAAATAGTGTAGTGAAAGTGTCTCAAGCTTTTTTCGGTGTATTTTTTTTTCTCTTATGTGCTCTAATAATTCTTTTTCAACTGTTGTCTTTATAATGAACATGGTCTTATCCGCTTCAATTCTCCACCTTTTTTAAAGCTCTGGCTTCATTTAATAGTATCATGTCATTTTTGTTTACTATTTCCCACAAATCATGCCCTTGGAGAAACGAATCTATGTAAGTTTACTGTGTGGCATAATTATGGTTATTGAACTTCTTCATTTTCCTACTACTTGCAGGTCACCCATCATAACTTGATTTACCTTTCGTAATCAAGCAAATTTTATAGAAGTTTTACAATCCCCTTTGTGCAAAAACGTTAGAAGCTAAAAAATGGGTCTCCAACCACTTTGCTTTGCTACCAAATCTTTGAACTTGGAACATGAAAAGTTTTATTTTATTACAAAAGAAACACTCAAAATCATCTTACAATTTGATATTGACAATAACCTAGCAACAAGTTCACTTTCTCTCTTTATTTAACTCCACTAACTTTTCTCTCTACTCACCTTTTTCTCTCCCAGTAATACACCACACACATATATTACCTCTCTCATTTATTTATCTTTCACCACTCATACATTTCACTCTTCTCTCTATACGTACCTTTTAAAACACACTCTCTCTCACACACTCACATGATGTTTCTCTCTTCTCAATCCATACACAAATACAATAAAATCACACACATACACATAGGTGTTTATGGTGGTGGCAAACTATATAACAATATTCTAGGACCATCTCTTATGTCAACAAAGAATTTGGAATTTGATCACCAAGAAATCATCACCAATTTTCTAGAGAATTCTTGGAGTTTCTTCTCAAGTCAGTGATGACTTTCAATTCTTTCATTTAGCACCGAATTTTCAATTTGACTCTTTTCTTTTTCGTTATGCCTGACTTCGCCTCAAACTTGACAAAATTTAAACGATCTTTTTTTGTTCAATGCATCTGTGACTTCAAATATATCTGGCTCTTCCATACTTTCATCTTCTTCTATTGCATTAACATACCTGGTGTTTGATATTTTGTGTCTATTGGACTTTCTTACTTGTGGTTGTGAATTTTTACATACCTTAATCTCTTTTTACTGACTATATCTATCTTTCGCTAGTGTTTTATGGCCCATGTCATTTTGCCAAGGACTCTGTGTTGTTCAATAAACTCTTCTTTATCACTTGATACATGTAGATCTTTAGACTCCTTAGAACTTCGTTGAGCTTATGTGATATTCTCTTGTAATTCGTCTTCCATTTCCTTCAAATCTGGCAACTCTATCCTCTACGGTGTCTGTCAAGAGTATGCTTATCCAAACATTTCTTTTGAGTTTGCTAGTTCCTCCCTCCATGGAGCCTACCCAAAAGACTCTTCATGAACCATGATGTCCTCTTCTGAATCATCGATCCAGTCATCTTTACAATCCAATTGTTTAGGCAAGACTACAACCAACGTTGATCGTCCTTTATTCTTAAATTTATTTTCTTTTTTCAAGCCTACTCAATTATTGTCATGGCTGCCTTAATATCCCATTCTTCTTCATTATTTTACTTATCTTATTTATTGGAGAATGCTACATTGCCTTCTAGTATATTTGTAAACCAACAATCTCTATTATAATGGCCTCGTTTTGGACATACAAAGTACGAGCCATTAGTTCGTTGATATTCTTGAACTCTTTTATCGCAATTTTGTCGAGCTCTCATTCTCTGATAAATTTCTTTTCCTTGTGTATTTTTTTTAATTCTTTATTATTTTGTTGATGAATTGACCTCTTCTTTTATTGTTACATAATGATTCTCCTCTTATTTCTTTATTGAGACCTCTAACATTTGCCTGATCACCGTTTCTTGATCGGACAGTAAATTTTTGAGATTGAATAGTGATTGATACTCTAGCCAACCTTGTATTGCAGTAATAAAGCCTCTAATTTCATGTCTCAATAGATATATAAATATTTTTCTTATTCTGGACTCTAAGATTTTACTTTAATAATCTAATTCAGAAGTTTCGCGATAGAGAGATTTAACTTTGTTAAAATATTGACTTACCATCAATTCTCTTTTTGTGATCGAGAGTTGCTCATGTTCCAACAATTGTAATCTCAAGTCATTTTTCTTTGAAATAGTAAAGCAAAAATGTCCCATGCTTCTTTCAGCTTTGCATGCTTCCTTCGACGTATTTTTGTCTTGCTTCAATAATTCTTCCTCAATTGTTGAATGATGGAATCATTACAAAAAGTATGCCCTAGGCCCATCTGCGTATTTTTTTTTATGCCCCGTAATTCTT